ATTCGATTGATAACACACATTATTATTATTATTACTACTTTTTATATACTATGTCACTTATCTACGTCTATTCTCACTTTATGTAACCCAATTTTTCAACTTATCTAGCAGCTCGCCCATGGTGGAAACTCTGTTCTACCTAAACGATCTCAAGTCACTGTCTGGTCGAAAGTTGAATGCTTCCACCGAATACGAATACTGAAACAGTCTTTCTGAAACCACGTATACCATTCAAACTGGCTATCCGAGACCAGAATTCAAAACTCTAATGAAATAATATAATTTAGCTCTCCATCTGTTGCTTCGAAAAGCTTGTTTCACGTGCCTTTATCTGGAAACCCCATGGCATCTTCGTCTGATCTTGCTGGCGTTGGCGTCGCACTAAGCATTAGAGCTGAGGCAGCACTGATCAATATGATCCCCATTAACAGTTGGTTATATGTTATTAGATTAGAAAGCTCCATCAAACTGCGAAGTCGTTGTGAGAAACGATGTTTCTTCATCTCCCGGGTGCGATAAATGACGTGTTTTACCACCAGTTAACTGTTATTTTACAGAAAGTGCGTTCGACAGATATTATAGTACTAGCCGGAGACTTGAATACTCAGGTCGGGAGTCTAGACACAAAACAGAATCGTTTAGGCGGCTGATGGGGACTTGTTGGTCGCAGAACAGATAGCGAAGACCGGCTACTGCAAGTGTGCACAGACCCCAACCTGTTTCTGGCTAGCGCTAACTACCGGCACAGTTATCGCTAATATGCTACCTGGCGTCCACCCATCTCAAGCCTGGACTCAGATTAATCACATCGCGATCAGCAACAGCTGACATGGTTGTGTACAAGACTGTCGTTCCTTTTGGAGTACCTATCTGGACTCTGATTATGCCCTTGTTTGAGCCAATTTAACCTTACATTCCAGTGGCCAACGCATTCATCGTCCTAAACAGATCAGTGTCGTAAAATTGGTCAGAGCATGTCAATGAGTTGGAAGTAGCAGCTGCATCTGGTAACTGCCGGAAGCTCTTTCAACTCATCCGAGCCACTGTCAGCAAGGTGTTTGGTGTGATCGAAACAATCTGTGAAGATGACGAGATGTAAATCATTGACATCTATCTATGTCTTAGACAATCGGCAGAGTTTTTTGACAGGCAACTCAACTGGTCTGCTACCCAGAAAAATAGATCAGAGTGTGCTACAACTAATCCACCTTATGAGGTGGAAGTCCACAAGCAACTCCAGCTCTTAAAGCGGTACAAACCGCCAGCCTCAAATGACTTACCTCCGACCATATTTAAATACGGCATTGAATTCCTAGTTAAGTAACCGACAAAGGTTTGACAGTTAGAGAGTGTAGGATTCAGCATCACCGATTGAATCTCTTGGTTGTCGGTAGTAAGGAATGCAACTGAACAGCTAGCCGATGTTCGAATGTGAATAACGGTTTGAGTTACCACACTGTTGATAATCAAGACTCGATTTCGACGCCGGTACATCTGGCCAACATGTCGTAGATTGGATGGGACGCTCACGTTATATTCCACCACTAGCCATAATCTACCTATTCTGAACAACACAATCGTTTGTTTGTTCATAAACAATATATGAGTAACAGTGTGCTTGTTTGTGATCATAGTTATCATATGAGAACGACTAATTATACTACCTTACTAACAAACAGAGGTAGTCTTTCTAGCATCACAAGCCACAGTAATGGAATCGAGTTATCGTAACAATGAAAGCATCACACTTTATTTGACTAGTCAACTGAAAGCATGTTGGAATGTGTCAACACTGAAAAGTTTTCATTAGAATACAATGGAATGCAGTAATCGATTGGATGTGTTAAATTTTCACGAGTGTGAGGATATGAATAGTGTTTGTTTATCATCAGTCGAGGAATAGGAACGATAGTCAAGACAAACGACTGATTAGCAAGCATGTTGCAGTTAGGTGGTGGTAAGGCTGTAATTGTATTCGTTTGAAATGAGGAACAAAATATGTGAACGAGATGCTATGTGGTTAATTGATAAGCATCAACACAATAGACAAGAGATTCAGTAAACGATTTCTAATGAGAATTATCATCACAGAAAAATACAACACACCTTCCACAAATATTGAACTTTGTCGAATTAAGACTAGTCTGGTTTATGTGATAATTTCATTCATACTAACACTTGAATATGTTCCAAACGTTTCTATGATGAATTAGTAGTTTCAGTTATTCATATCTATTTAGGAGATCAAATACTTCTACAATTCAAAAACGTACCTATTTATACATTATTGATCATTTGTTACTTACTTACTTACTTACTTACGCCTGTTACTCCTCGTGAACGAGAATAGGCCGCCCATCAGCATTCTCCATCCAACCCTGTCCTGGGCAATCCTTTCTAGCGCTTTCCAGTTGTTATTCATCTTTTTCATGTTTGATTCTATTTCCCGACGTAGTGTGTTCTTTGGCCTTCCTCTTTTGCGCTTCCCTTCAGGATTCCAAGTTAAGTCTTGCCTCGTAATGCAGTTTGACGATTTGCACAATGTATGTCTTGTCCGTTTCCATCGTCTATTCCTAATTTCTTCTTCAGATGGAAGCTGGTTTATTCCCTCCTGCAGAAGTCTGTTGCAATGGTTGGGATTGTGAATATGTTTGTAGTCCTGGTAAATACGCCACCACCATATTCATGTGAGTCTGAAACATTCACACCTCCATCAGTCAGAGACACATTTCATCAATTAATCTTGATAAGTAAAGCGACTGAAACCAGTGATTGGATGAAAGACATCAGCATCTAGGAATTCATTTGTCGTTAATATAGGTTTTCAGAAATACTTCCCTCATGATTCACCATGTGAAGCATGTAGACTAAAGTAATTTTGAAAGCTATTTTGACGAACGTTTCATGGAATGAAAAGTTTTGTTTCATCTCACTTTCTCTAACTATATTTAGATTGTAAGTACAAAATATTTAGAATACTAGTGAAAGATGAGCTTCGATTCCTTAACGAATCAAAGTAATTCACACATACTTTCTTGTCTGTCGCGCTATTCATGTTTTGAAACGAATATTCGATAGTGTTTTGTTTTGTAAGTATGAAGGGTACAGTTGGTTTACGAAAACCGAAATCTTGAATTGTTCACTTCCAATTCACAAAAGTCAGAACTAGACTAATCGACCATTCTGTTTCATAGATGATCTTAATGCATACATATAGAGAGTATAGGCAATAAGTATTTTGGTGAATATATTGATCTACAATCAGACATAATGTGCAGCTGAATTGACTGGGATAATAAGGGAAGAATGCATATGTAGGCATCTCATTCATCTTTGGTAACAGTTGGAGATGCATCGTTGCCTGATGGTATGTCTGTTAACAATTGATAATATGATACACATTTTAATGGATCATAAGAAGCATACATTTTGAATGTGATCTATTCACGTTATCGAAAAACTATATTAACTTAATCTATCTTCAGTGGTCAAATAAACATACTGAAGTTTATAAACTGCAAGTTCTTCTATTGGAAACATATATGTATATGAATATACTTCTAATATCTGTGATAACTTCATATAGTGAAACGATAAGTAGTTCAGGCTATCTGAAATATTTGGGTCTTGAATCTATGTTGACGTTCATTGAGTGATTTTTGTAACTACAAAATATAAACCGTATTTTTTCCCCAATTTGTCACACTTGATATGTAACCACATTTTTATACAATATCTATTGCTTTTCTGTATCACTTTTTAAAAAAACGATTATAATTGTTTGGATACTTATATACGAATATTCTACCGCGTAGGTTGAAATGAAAAATACTATCTACACCATCTTCTGCTTTATTGTCCACGGCCTTTTATTGAAAACTACAATAGTGTTATAAAGTCATTTTAGGCCTTCCTACACGCATTTTGGCACGCATTATTATTAAATAATATTATTGGATCCAGTCTTTCTCATTACGCAGTATTAGCCACCTCGTGCAGAGGTATCTTCGTTAATCAATTGAACTAATTTGTGGTTGTCATCTCAGAGAACGGCTTACAAATAACATTAATTACCTAACAACTGTTATTACCTTGTTGTTTAGAACACCGTTTTAATTCTAACTGTAATATGTTAACTTTTGACTTCACTCATAGACAGCCACCGAGGAATATAATGTTAACTCAATTGGTGTATTATTAATGACCATGCGTACTGATATATCTTGAGTGAGCTCTTTTTCTGGGATCCACCACAAATCAATTACGTTGTTTAATGCTAGATAATTGCACAGAATTTCCACAGTCACAGATTATGTGCATTGTATACATCAATTCTGAAGGTGCGTCAATGAAGAACCAACCTATCAATTCATATTTGTCATTGAAATATTCTCCACATTATCATTTAACGACTCACACTCATGATCCTCTTCTACAGTGGCTGTGCACTAAATTCGATTCGAAAATTACCTAATATTACATAACAACTATCTGTTTCGATTACTGCTTCCTACTAAATACATCCACTAGCAACTAGAAACGACAATGATATTACCCATCCTGAAATACACTTATATGACGAGATATAAAGAGAAAACACTCTCGGTCTTCTGCACGAATAACTGTTTATTTGAATTCTTTACTAATAATGAAGATGTTTCAATTTCGATTTTGAAACACTACCACATACAAAATTACCATACACAAAAGCGCACGCTGACAATAATATGACAATAGATCAACCAGTACAAAAGACAATGTGGAAACACAATCTCAGTTATACTAATATACATTCTGTTCTGTTTTGTGGTCTTCATTCAAACTGTATATTATTCTGTGTTTGTTCTTATAAAGATGAAGTCGGGAATTGATGAGTACTAGAGAAAATGATGTTTGTGAATATGATTGGGTTGAGTTGCGTGCAGAATGATCAGATGTGTGTTACAATGTTTGTTTTAGTTCCTGGTGATATTTGTCTTGCATATTCGGTTTCCTCCAACTTAACCGGATTTGAATAGAAGAATTGCTACATTGCCCATATAAAAGTAGATGAAACTTTTGGTTTCATGCGTCACATGACTGCAATAAAATGAGAGAATTGAAATATTTGTTAGCAACGTACAAGCTAATTTCAGAACAAGATAATCTTACGAATGTTATTTGAATCCAGACGTTAGAATTAAATATGGAAGTATCTTCTGATTGATCAGACAGTCATAGCCGTCTTTAAAAGTTAGGCTGTTCGTTTATAGCCAAAAATTATGCAATGAAATTCAAAATTATGCAGTTTCGAGATTCCAACTTTGAATGATTTCTGTCTTGACATAGACAGTGAGTGAATAAGAATAATTACATATTAATCAATAAATATTACTAACCTTCCGAAATTTCTTCCAACAATACAATGCCATGTAGGATTGTATTTCTTGTCAAATTCTTTCTTAATGAATGCTGCTATATCTTTTTCGATACTAGATTTCTCTAGAGCTCGTGAAGCACAATTAACAGCCTCTCGTTGCATATCATCGGACATATCGGCATTACTGATTAATGGTTTACGTTCAGCCATTATTATATTTTAGAAGATTTACAATATGTATGCGGATGAATTGAGTAGCCGTTCACTAATTGTCTTCACAGTGCTACCTTGTAGTAATTTCTAATTTCAAAACAGACACTATTTATATCAACAAGAGTGTCATACTTTTGACCTTATTAAAAATGCGATGAAGTGAGAATTTAGTAGCTTGGCTTCAGATATAAAATATGTGTGTAGGTATATAGATAAATAAATAAATAAATATATGTAGTGGCACAGGTTTCAATTGGTTCATACATAATCTTGACGTACAGTCAATCAGTTACATCGTAGGACCAGGCACATATGTGCATCGGTCCAAGTTGCCATACCTCATTAGCGCAATAAGATGAACACTAAATTCAGAGAAGTAGTTACTTCAATGGTAGTAATGTATTAAAGAAAGTTTGCATATAAGGATGTAGTACAGAAAGAAAGAATTAGTCGGTAGAAAGATATGAAGCAATTTTAATCTCAGAGTTTAAGGGAAGACAGAAAGTTCATACACCTATGCCATTGTGATCGATTCTCAACCATGTCACGCGGACCCCAACCAAGTAGTCCACTTCTATCAACATGGCTCACACCACAAGTTAGTGACTTTGTGGATTGATGTCACGTTCTGGTTCTGTCACCCCCAACTTCCTTCCATCCGTTTCCAACACTAGTCAGCATTGCGCATCGTAGTGGTCGGTGTTCAGGCATACGTAACACGTGGCCCAACCATCTCAGTCGATGAAAATTCACAACCTCATCAACTACTTTACCATCATTCCCTAATACCCTGCGTCTAACCTCACATTTACTTACCCAGTGATCCCAGTAGATGCGAGCAATATTTATAAGACATCTGCGGTCAAATTCTAGTAACTTACGAGTATCTTCTACCCTTGATGGCCACGTTTCGCAGCCGTAAAGTAGAGCAGAACGAACTGCCGCGTAGTATATTCATCCATTAATTGATAGACGGATATCTCGCCTTCGCCATAGGTGGTGATATAAGACGGCAAGAACCAAACGAGCTTTCTGAATCCGTGATGAGGTTTCGTCAAACACCAACGTATGCCATAAGAATGGAAGTGATCGATGTTTGATTTTCGCTTCATAGTGTTAATTTTAGTGAATTTTGTAATCCAAGTAAATGCTTTTCTATAAAAGTAGAACTAAACTACTTGACTTATTATTCAGTAGATGAATTTACATGGTTGATTTAACAACGCCACAAAATGATATTTTAATCGATGAAATTGGTTGTTCTGAGCCATCATTTGCATAAACATTTAATTAGATTTGACAATCATCGTTCAACGATATCCTCGTATCTCTTTTTTCTGAATATACAGTGAGCAAGGATAATAGTTGGAGGTGATTCGTCATAGTGGTTGTATATAATTTATTTTGATGTAATGAATTAATGTGTAAATCGTGATATTTTGTTTATGTTGGTGGGTATCATTTATTAAGTAAATCCAAGCAATGTACAACGCTTTTATATCACAGTGTTATTTCCACATATTCCACCTAGATTTGTTCGTAGTTATTATATGCCAGTATGACGTATCTGGAATCATGAAGGCATGAACAATTCACATGAGATTTAAATCCAAGTATCCCAGTTTCAGATACCGAAACACTGATCTACTCAGAACAACGTGATAGGTGATATTTAAATCACTATGCACTGATTGAATGATATTTCAAATTATTACACGATGGGTAGAGGAATTACTCAAAAGTGATTGATTGTTTTGAATGAGTAAATACGTTGACCCTACTATTTTCTTTAAAACTCACGAAATCGACAACACTAAATTCGTCTAGATTTTGACTACCTAATCTAATATCTAACTCGATTTCTGAAATATTTATTACGCAATATACTACAATGAACTCCGCCTGTACCTCTCCTAGAGTTCCTGCCGGTCGCAAGCCCGGGTAAAGGAGGAGAGTTGTGCATGGGGTTAGAGACCCCATCCCGTAGAAAACTAACTCGCCAAAAACACTAACCAGAAAATAATTCAAACTATTTAAACTCTGCCCTTGGAGCTAGAAGGTCTTCATTTAGAAGAACTATGACGTTTCATGGTGAAAGCCGAGTTCCTTCGGAAGTCACGAGGCTGATGTCCCTTATAACAAGCAGAACAACAACTTTTATAGGTACATGAAATGTTCGGACAATGTGGGAGACCGGGAAGACCAGTCGAATAGCAACTGAAGTGAGGAGATACAACTTGGCAGTACTGGGAATCAGTGAAACCCATTGAACCCAAGCTGGACAACAAAGGCTAAATACGGGAGAGATGCTGCTATACTACGGTCACGAAGAGGAAAATACTCCACACACTCATGGAGCTGCTCTAATGCTGTCCAAAGTAGCACAAAATTCACTTGTAGGATGGGAATCTCATGGATCCAGAATTATCAAAACATCATTAAGAACAAAGGAGGGAATTACAATGAATACTATCCAGTGTTATGCACCCACGAATGATAGCAATGACGACGATAAAGATCATTTCCATGATAGGCTGCAATCAACCATAGTGAAGTGCTCAAGAAAGGACCTCACCATTCTGATGGGAAATCTAAACGCCAAAGTCGGAATAGACAACACCGGATATGAAGATATCATGTGACGACATGGAATGACTGGGAGAGAGAAACGAAAATGGGGAAAGATTTGCAAATCTATGTGCCTTCAACAAATTGGTCATAGGGGGCACAATATTTCCAAACAAACTTACACACAAAGCTACATGGATCTCACCAGACCACACTACAGAGAACCAGATAGATCATATTTGCATCAATAAAAAATTACGAAGGACAATGGAAGACGTGAAAATCAAAAGAGGAGCGGACATAGCTTCAGATCACCACCTAGTTGTGGCCAATTTAAAACTGAAGCTAAAGAAGAACTGGACAACTGGACAAACAACACTACAAAGGTTCAATACAGCCTTCCTTCGAGATACTGACAAACTCAATGAATTCAAGATAGCTCTCAACAACAGATACAAGCCTTACAGGATCTACTAATAGAAGAAAAAACTACTATGGAGGACAACTGGAAAGGTATGGAAGGACCATTAGCTTCAAGGTGTCAGGAGGTTCTGAGCCTCTATGGAAACACTGAACAGGATCAAAGAAAGGAAGAACAAGAAGACAACAATTAACAACAGACGAACACAAGCAGAGAAATTCCAAGCACAAGCTGAGCACATAGAAGCAAACAAACAAGTGAAGAAGATCATTAAAACTGACAAGCAGAAATACGTGGAAGAACTAGCAACGACGGCGGAAAAAGCTGCAACAGAAGGAAATTTGAAACAGATTTACGATACAATGAAGAAACTAGCAGGGAGATATAGTAAAACAGAGAGACAAGTCAAGGACAAAGAAGGCAGGCCAATCACTGAAATTCAACAACAGCAGAACAGATGGGTAGAGTATTCGATAAACTCTTGAATAGGCCGGCTCCAATGAATTCATAAGACATCGAAGCAGCATACACAGATCTTCCTATAGACGTCAACCCACCAACGACAGAAATCACAATGGCCATCAGATAAATGAAGAGCGGGAAGGCAGCAAGACCCGACAACATAACAGCTGAAGCATTGAAGTCAGACATCGAAGTAACTACAAACATGCTTCACCTTCTATTCAAGAAGATTTGGGAGGAGGAACAAGTGCCGACGAACTGGAAAGAAGGACACCTCATCAAGATTCCAAAGAAAGGAGATCTGAGCAAATGTGAAAACTACAGAGGAATCATACTACTGTCAGTACCAGCGAAAGTCTTCAACAGATTGTTGCTGAACCGGATGAAAGACGCAATAGATCAACAAGCTGGATTCCGTAGGGATCGGTCGCGCACAGACCAAAATGCGACACTATGGATCATCGTCGAACAATCAGTTGAATGGAACTTGTCACTATACATCAACTTTATTGATTTTGAAAAGGCATTTGACAGTGGAAACTTCTTCGACACTATGGAGTTCCTGAGAAGATTGTCAATATTATCCAGAACTCATACGACGGAATACAGTGCAAAGTCATGCATGGAGGACAAATGACAGACGCATTTCAAGTAAGGACAGGAGTCAGACAAGGCTGTCTACTCTCTCGCTTCCTCTTTCTTCTGGTGGTCGACTGGATTATGAAGACCTCAAAATCTGAGGGAAAACACGGCATACAATAGACAGCTAAGAACCAATTAGACGATTTGGACTTCGCAGATCACCTAGCCCTCCTATCGCATACACACGAACAAATGCACATAACGACAGCCAGTGTAGCAGCAGTCTCGGCATCAGTAGGCCTTAACATACACAAGGGGAAAACCAAGGTCCTCAAATTTCAAGCCGAGAACAGCAATCCAATCACACTTGATGGAGAAACTCTGGAAGATATATAATCCTTCACATACCTGTGAACCATCATTCCTACAACTGAAGAACATATGCAACTTAATACAACTTTCAACCAATATCAAAGTCAGAATCTTCAATACCAACGTCAAGACAGCCAGTTCTACTGAACGGAGCTGAAACTGCGAGAACTACAACAACAACCATCAAGAAGGTGTAAGTATTTATAAATAGTTGTTTACGCAAGATACTCAACATCCATTGGCCGGATACCATCAACAACAGCCTTCTGTGGGAGAGAATAAACCAGCTTCCAGCTGAAGAAGAAATTAGGAATAGACGATGAAAACGGACAAGACATACATTGTGCAAATCGTCAAACTGCATTACGAGGCAAGACTTAACTTGGAATCCTGAAGGGAAGCGCAAAAGAGGAAGGCCAAAGAACACACTACGTCGGGAAATAGAATCAAACATGAAAAAGATGAATAACAACTGGAAAGCGCTAGAAAGGATTGCCCAGGACTGGGTTGGATGGAGGATTCTGGTGAGCGGCCTATGCTCCTTCATGAGGAGTAACAGGCGTAAGTAAGTAAGTAAGTAAGTAGGACTACAATGCTTGCACGTCACTTATATCTCGCTGCTCGACCGTTGTTGCTACCTTGACGTGGTGGTCGGGCTTGCCTGTTGTGATGAAGCAACCGAGCTATACTGGCTGGAACAACCGTTCCTCAATGTCCTACCATGTCAAACAGGTCGGTTGAAGAGCGGTCAGACTAAAAGCAACAAACCCAAGGTCCGAAGGCGAAGTCGTACTGCTGACTGTACAGAGGTGTGACGGCAGTAAGGTGTTTACTTCAGACAACCAGCATGACAGCGATGCTGCCTTCCCACAAGGAGGGGTGGGGTTAGAAAAAGTCGACCCTAAAAATGCACACCTCGCCTTATCCCACGGGTATTTGTCTCCGGTGGTAACGTCTCAACAAGTACGGAGCTAACACAAAAATTACCCATAAAAAGATCGGGTGTGACCGACCTCAAGCAGTTGTCCCTTTGGCACTGCAGTCACGCTCTCAGGTCACTAAGACCACCTCTAATCCAATTTCCTTTTCAGGTACCTACAGAAGAACCCTTCCATGGTGTGGGCAACTGGGAAGTGATAACCGCCCTCATACCTCTAACAGCACCCAAGACCACTATATTCATAATCAACCTCCCTCTTCAATTCCTATTATTCCTCCTACATTGACTTTCAACTCTAAATTTCCTCTTTCGGCTTCCTCCTCAAGTGTCACCATAGCCAACGATTCTAGTGCTCAAAACACTGTCCCAGATCTACTGAAACCTCGCTCCAAACTACACATTGGAGCCCTCGACGTACGAACCCTATGTCAAATCGGTCAGCAGGCTTCCTTGGCTAAAACCCTATAGTTTCTTACCATTGATGTGTGCTGTGTCTCCGAAACGCGCATACAGGATTCCAGTGTGGTCATTCACTTGACCTCACCTCGGCAAAACGGAGAGCCAACGAGATACACCCTCCGTGTATCTGGTGACCCGATGGCCAGTTCTCGTGGACTGGCAGGTGTAGGCATAGCACTAAGCATGAGGGCCGAACAAGCAATGCTAGAGTGGATCCCCGTCAGCAGTCGTCTATGTGCTGTTCGGCTAAACGGCTACATAAGAACTCGAAAGGATAGGGACACACGTCGTTGCCTTTTCGTTGTTTCTACCTACGCTCCCACTGACTGCAGCTCAGATGAAGTGAAAGATGAATTTTACAGAAAGCCATCTGAACTTCTTCAGAAAGCTAAACGTTCAGACATAGTAATCGTAGCAGGTGACCTTAATGCCCAGATAGGTAGTTTAAACCAAACAGAAAGGCATTTAGGTGGATATTTTAGTATTCCGAGACAGCGAACAGATAATGGTGATCGTCTGCTGCAACTATGCTCAGACAATCGTTTATTTTTAGCAAACACAAATTTTAAGCATAAGGAGAGACATCGTCTAACATGGCGACCCCCTACACCAAACCAACGATGGACTCAAATAGACCATATTGCCATCAGTCATCGTTGGAGATGGTCGGTACAAGATTGTCGCTCATTCTGAAGTACCTGCTTGGACTCCGACCACGCCCTAATACGGGCACGCATTTGCTTGCGCCTCACTGGACGCAAAAAAGCCACATTAAAAAGACCCGTTAGAACTGAGTTGAGTAACGAGACAACCAAAAGTAGGTTCCAGGAACAACTGAGGTCACACTTAGGTAGTTCTGAAGACGAGGCTGACCCAGATGTTGCTTGGAAAGGCATACAAGCAGCTGTGAAAACAGCAGTGACATCTATTAGTGACATAAACCACAGAGTTACAAGGAACCAGTGGATTTCTTCAAGGTCTATCACACCGATGGATTCTCGCAAACTCGTCCCATCAGGTTCTGAACATGATGAAGAGCGTAAAGAAATCAGATCTAGGTTAAGAAAACGTCTAAGGAACGACCGTGAGCAGTGGTGGGTAACGAAAGCAAAAGAGATGGAAAAGGCGGCGACTATAGGGAACACAAGACAACTTTACAGACTAATAAAAGAAACTGGAATTAATAAGTCAAGTGTAAGTGAGATTATTTCGGAAAAGGACGATACTCTCATCTACTCCCAGTCCAGACGTCTAGAACGATGGGCGGAACACTTTAGGGAACAGTTCAACTGGCCTTCAGCGACTTCACAACTACCGTCCATTCCCAGACAGTGTGAATGGAACATTGAAGTAGGTCCCCCAACTCTAGCTGAAGTTCAAAAGGCTATAGTTAATCTGAAACGAGGAAGGGCAGCTGGTCCAGATGGATTGGCTTCAGAAGTCTTTAAGGATGGTGGTCCAATTTTAGCGGTTAGGTTGACTAATATTTTAGCTAAGATCTGGGAGTTAGATGTTATTCCATCTGACTGGTCGCCATCACTTATCGTCCCAATATATAAGAAAGGGTCAAAATCATCCTGTGATAATCACAGAGGGATTAGTTTAACAAATATATTATCTAAAATACTAGCCTCGACAATTATCAAACGCCTAACTAAGACTCGTGAACTGCAAACACGAGAGAACCAAGCTAGCTTCAGACCTGGTCGTGGCTGCATCGACCACATATTCACCATTCGTCAGGTTCTAGAACACAGGCATACTTATCGGCGTCCGACAATGATGGTCTTTCTTGACTTAAAAGCAGCATTTGACTCGGTAGACTGCGAGATTCTGTGGCAGTGTCTGTCATTGAAAGGCGTACCCCAGAAGTACATAAACCTTGTAAAGGCTCTTTACTCGAACACTACTAGTCGAGTGAGAGCTTATGGCGAACTGTCATCTAGTTTTGCAACCTCAAGTGGTGTCCGTCAAGGCTGTCCACTTTCTCCATTTTTGTTTAAGTTCATCGACCTATTGATGGAAATAACATTCTCGTCGACTGAATTCTCGGGTATTGATCTCCTACCAGGAGGTCCACTTATCGACTTAGAATACGCAGATGACATAGTCCTGTTTGGTGAAGACGCTGACAAAATGCAGAGTCTTCTGGTAGCACTGAGCAACAATGCCAGGATGTTTGGAATGCGCTTCTCTCCCTCTAAATGCAAGTTGTTGCTTCAGGACTGGTCTGCGTCAACACCTGAACTAAGGATAGGGAGTGAAGTAGTCGAACGCGTTGACAACTTCACTTATCTTGGAAGTCTGATCAGCCCTAATGGGTTGGTATCTGAAGAAATCTCAGCACGGATTCGAAAAACTCGTTTGGCTTTTGCCAACTTACGTCACCTATGGCGAAGGCGAGATATCCATCTATCAATAAAAGGACGAGTATACTGCGCGGCAGTTCGTTCTGTCTTACTTTACGGCAGCGAAACATGGCCTTTAAGAGTAGTATTTGACCACAGATGCCTTAGAAATATTGCTGGCGTCTGTTGGGATCACCGGGTATGTAATAGTCAGGTTAGACGCAGGGTATTAGGGAATGATGGTAAATCAGTTGATGAGGTTATGAATCTTCATCGACTGAGATGGTTGGGTCACGTGTTACGTATGCCTGAACACCGATTACCACGTCGTGCAATACTAACGGGTGTTAGAGATGGTTGGAAGAGAATTAGGGGCGGCCAAACCAAAACGTGGCATCAGTGCTTGAAGACACTAACCTCTAGTCTGAGCCATGTTGGTAGATGCAGACTACTTGGTTGGGGTCTGTGTGACTTTCGTAACCAATGGTTGGAGACTCTTGGTGACATGGCTCAGAATCGATCACAATGGCGTCGGTGTATACACTCCCTGTCTTCCCTTAAACTAAGAGATTAAAATCACTTCATATCTTTCTTTCTACTAACTAATTCTTTCTTCCTATACTATATCCTTATTGCAATCTTTCTCCTATATATTACCACCTTTGACCTAACCACTCCTATGAATCCGGTGTTCATCTTGCTGTGCTAATTAGGTATGGTAACCTGGACCGATGCACATATGTGCCTGATCCTACGTTGTAGCTGACTGACTAACTATATCTCGCTAAAAATTCTACAAAGCAATATGGGGAAATTCGAACGACTATTCACAAAATGTATTCGTATACTTCAGAAGAACTGTAATCACTACATACTAAGCTTAACTCCCTTGATATTTTAAGACTACTCTGCTTTACACCACAATAAAACACCTTGGTACCAGGGTAATAATAAACAATTATTTGTTACCACTGTAAAAAGTGTAATCACCTATGGACATGATCAGTCATAAAAAGCAATAGCAGAATTGACTAATTTAAGGCTTGTCGGACATCTAGAGATTCACTTCAACGTGTAGTAGGCGCTGGTATTGTCCACATTGACAATAAAAGCTCAACAATTAAATCATCCAGCTCAGTGCACTCAGTTTCATGAAAGACAATATCCGAGTAGCATCTCTTTCAAATCATTGGTTTTTGTTAGCTGCTTTAGTTTACGGTTTATTGACCTCCAAAAAGTACACAATATCAACTTTCGTGAAAAATATTTAAATGATTAAAACGTACCATAACGTCAGTCGCCTAAGAATATGATTGGTGGTAGCAACAGTTGACGAATCTATAAAGTACGGGATGGCATACTTGGGATAGGTCACGCGCAGTTGATCATCTATTTCAGTGTGCAATGAAGGTAAACCATAGAGTAGTTTTAAAAAATATGGTACGGGCAATATAAAAACGTGACATTTTAAAATGCGACAGTGATGTTTGACACTCTGTTTCCAACAAATTCAACATTATATAATATATACTTTATACATATGTTATGACTAGAAATCACTACAACGTAAATATATTTCATATTGAAACTAACGAAATCGGTAATACATGAGTAGTTTTGCTTACTTTGGTTATCTCAGATTCTTCAAAGGTTAAATTTAATGGACCTTAAATGATGTGCTTCATTTCCATTGACTCATTTGTTATGAACGATTCAAACTCTATGCCTTCATTTACATTCAGATGTCTTTTATTCCAATCTATATTATCAGGAGTCCACATACGTAATGTAATTTGATTACTTAAATTTTATTACATTTGCATAATGCTCAATAGTAAAAATATTTGTGATGATATTTCAACTATATTAACCAACTGAAGTTGAATCCATTTTGTCTAGAAATGATAGTCTGTTTATAATGTCTGAAAGAGACAAGAGGAAAGATCGGTCCGAATTATATTATAAATAAATATTATAAATAACTCAATGTGAATTTATCAACAAGATAATATTCCTCACAAAGTAACATTAACAAGAGAATGGTTGAAATCTGAGGTCAATAAACAACTGTTTTATTTTAGTCTGAAACTTTCTAGCAGTGTTCATGAACAAAATTAAACACACTTGAACTTAAGACCTTTAGGTTTCTGAGCTATCATGATATATTCACATCACACAATAAACACCTTTTGGCTTACATATCCAACCTCAGACAAATATAGATCTATCACGATTACCATAAAATATCATCAGTCCTGAGTAGCTCATAGACATAGATTTTCAACAGTTTTAACTGTTTGCTAAGACTAATTTTCATCTTGAAGGGAAATCAGTGATGAAATCACTGAAAATCAAGATATTTGGAAAACTAATACGAAATAACCACCAAGTGTGAACGGATTACCTTCAAACCTAATGTGATTTTATTTCGCTTAAACTTGAACTATAAAGTGATGTATTTGTAATATTATAATGAGTGGAAGACTGAACTTGTGACATTTCAGAACTTAATGTAAGTCACTTCGTCAATAATTAGTTCATTGATCTAACTGAATCAAACGAAGCTTCATTCTCTGAAGAAGCGACTTACACCGAGATGTAGAACACCAGAAATTTAATTCTCTGAACATTAGGATATTTCAATATATCGCTTTATTTATTATTACCAATCTACTTAAAAATCAATTTATTTGAAATCATCACGATGAACTTTGACAATGATATTTATAAAATCTGAATGCCATTTCGTTTTGTGTGATGCATTTTATGGAATACAATTTACCAATAACAATATGTTCGGATCATTGAATTGTCGTTATTAACATGTTGAATTCCCATAAGAATGAACTGTTAATAAATACGTGTGTTCTCTCCAACTATTCACAAACTATTTTTCAAAATAAAATAGCTTCGTGTTACAAGTGGTGAAAAGTGAATCAGCAAGCGATAAAGATAATTAGTATAGAAGCTTAAACAAAATTATTGAGTAAAAATGTTACATTTCGAAATAAAAGTGAATCGAACAATGATTAGTTTGAATGTATCGTAAGCATACTAGAAAACTAAAAAATCTGACAACACAAAATGATACGGTTTGCCCTTGAAATTAGTTGATATAATAAACTCACTGATACAGACTTAGCTGATACAACTGTCTTTGGATAATCACAAATTAAACGGTCATGGGAGTGAGACAAAAATTACAAAATACATTCTGATACTTATGAGTTTTTGGTGGAGTTTTAAGACGGGTTGCGTAGAAATCAAGGTAACTAATTTCCAGTTTATTATGGAATTATTTGCTTGCCTATTTTCACGTATTTATCAAGTGCATGGTGCTCATTGATCTCACCAATCTGAGCATCGAAATCAGTTCCACTACATACACTGATGAAGTAATAATTGCAGTGAATAAAACCATTCTACTAATATGATCAGTTGTTGGTCAGTAAGATCGCATTTATTCCCCTTGATACAAGATGTAACTCACTGATATAGTACGAATTGATGTGTTTGACGATAAACGCACTTTAACTACGGATGATTGTGATCCATGTCTAATATACAATGCGGAGTAGGCGAAGAGGGATTATGCTCTTCAACGAACAGGTTGGAAGCTGAGTGTTTTAACAAAACATATTTCGTACTCATTGGAATACTGTGGATTTTCGAGAGGAGAAAAATATCCATCACAAATAGGTTTAATAATGTACGAAATACTGGCGAGAAATCTATCAAAAACACGCAAAATAAACACTTGTCTCCTTGACTTCCGTGTAAATTCACTTCAGTAGTATGTAATTAACACACATGCATACACTCGAAACACAATCACACAAACATACATGCTTACACAGTTGAATACATACAACTAATCGTACCTTAAGCGTTGTTGAAATAACACATACATAAAATATGGAACTACCATTGAGTGTTTTTATGTTGGGTTATAGAAAATGTTTGTGTATTGTTTCTTTATTTATTCAACTACCTAGTTGTCCTTAGAATAAAAGTAAACAATGTTAAACCGTCTTAAATAAACTTAAAAATTGACTTGTTAAAATACTATTGGCAATCAACACAAGTTTTTACTGTTGGAAATCCAGTTAAATAGATAGCTAAATTCATTTTCATAACAATCTGATGACGAAAAAATTTGGAAGGTAATTCTAATTTCAAGAAACAGACCATTGAAAAAGAATGGAACTTCATACAAAAATAGAGAAGAAACCTTTCTGTAACATTCTATGAAAGGAAGATAGATATAAAAAGTGCTGTTTATATTCCTAATTAATAAATAAAATCTGATATTTTTGTAGAGTGGAGTATTGTGCAACAGTGGAATCCAAGGAGCAAACTTCCTCCTATGCACTTACATCCCATCCTTGAAATTCACAGTGGGTTTCGATTAAAAAAACACTTTGCTCCAGATCTATTATTCACTGGGATACTGAGTCCAGATATCTACTTGACTATGCAACAAATTCCTGGGATGAAAGACGCTAGGACCGATTTCAGTTTCAAATATCAACATCGGACGACGATGTTGACGAATTTTGAATAGGACAGAACGTGCATCTTAGATACAATTGAAGGTTAATATCCATGTTGGAGGTCAAGACGATCAGTCTCACTAATTATTGTCGGGGTAATTCACTGACGTATAGTAGGAAAAGTAGGGAACCTACGATGGTGCCTTGGGGTAAACCACTTTTTACCTGCTTCCATTCAGATAGTGTCCCACTTACTCCCACACTATATTTGGCCATAAAAGTTTCTTGTCTATTCTTGTGCGGTGCTTGTTATTCTACAGGTCTTTTGCATGATACCTGAGTTGCAAAACCTATCAAGTGCTTTGTTGATATCTATGAATATTTCAAGGGACAAAGCATTATGTTGGGTTGCTGTTGAACCCTCTTTCACAATAAAAAAGTTGGTTAAGCATGAACACTTACTTCGAAACGCATGTTGCTCAGGAGTTAACAGATCGTATGATTTTATGTTACTTGGTAACTTAACCAGAATTATTTTTTCAAGTAGTTTAACTAGTTTGCCAGTTAAACTGACAGATCGATAGCTAGGCATGTTCTGTCTCCTCCCATATTTAAATATAGGAACAACTATAGCATCTTCAAATCACCAGGGAGTTGGGTGTGGAGAAGAGACATGTTGAACAACATCGTGAGCGGCAGTGAAATAATTTCCGCGAGGGATGACAGCAATCGTGGATGTAACCTATGGAGGCCTGGTGTCTTACTAGATCTGAGGTTAGTGATCAATTGAAGAACAAATTTCTCAGTCGCATGGTTAGACCACAATTCCAACGCATAAATGCCAAGTTTGGCACCTAGTGGCGATGGCACAAGCCCCGAACAGCCTATGTAATTCCACATCTTACATGTCACAGTCCCGACACAGCTTTATGCGTTTTCTTTTGTTATATACCTTCTTATAACTATTAAACAACAATGTCTCTTGGGTTTTCTTTTGATCTCCACAACTATCGACGGTGTTACATATATTGGATCCTAGAAATACCTTAGACTCTGAGTGCTACTCAACTACGGCCGATCGTAAGAAGCTCAAAATATCCTAAATCATTGGTAGTTTTTTTTTAGTTCATGTTCTACTAATTTCAATTTTTATTACTAGCATTCAAAGTGTTTCCCTACTTATCATCTTACTCACAAATTTCGCAACCCTTTTTTGACCAGCTGCCAGTCCTTACCATCTCTAAACCACATATCATATGACCAGTGTTTCATAACTTATACGATCGATTAACTTTATGGCAGTGTGGTATACTAAATGGATGTATAGCCCACAATACAAAAGCTTTAGCTGACAGATTTGCTTGCAACATAGAACAATTGGCGACAGTGTATTCCAACAAGTTGTGCAACGTAGGGATTAGATTAAAGCAATATTTATACACCTGCAAACATGGTGGGGAGATATTTATTTATTTATTTAAACACATAAACATTGGTAAAGGGAGGCACCAAATAGATATGCGCCACATAAATCATTCGATTTGTGTGAGGGCTGTGATACTGCCCGGGTGCCCAGACCGAAACTGGTGGTTTTCTTAGGGGGCAACACCCCGAGCCTCTGACCTTAAGGTCTGACCAACAAGGCAGTAGAGCATCGTGAGGAGATGCAGTCCCATGGTAGCCGGTGACCAACGATTGGTTCATACGCCATTTGTTCCCTCAGGATACTGGAGCACATGTGCACTATTGGTTTGGAATCCGGTTAAAGCGCTAAACATTCGCTTTTCGTCCTCTCCATTCCGTAAACAACACCCCCGCCACGAAAAGGCAGTGAGTAGGACTTCCCTGGCAGAGTCTGTATACGCGTGACCGTATGAGAGCATCTCGAGATGGAGGGGGGGCCACCCCACTCTCGACCATACCAGGCCATTCGGGGGCGGCGGGGAGATAACCAAAATCCATCCATGTCTGTAGGGTAGAACATTCTGCCAGATTAAAACTTCCTATAGTCTGTTAAGATGTAAATAAGGAATGTTATTGATAATTATTTATTATGCCAAATACCTTAACTCATGTCTAAATAGATAGCTTGGTTTCACTACCTACCGATAAATACTATTGCCAGAAAAAACTGGACAATTACGTTAACTAGGAGT